GACATAGATACTTTATTATGGTATAGTATTTAAATATATGCCTGAGAAACACATAACATTGACCCTTTAATTAGCTTTTACAGTAGACTTGCTAGTTTTTATTAGTTATTATTGCATTTTTAATGCTTGGTTTTAGTTTAGTTTTTATTGCTTCTGGTATTAGTTTTTTATAGTTTGAATAAACATATTTATCAATGCATTCTTAACTTGTGATGTTCCTGTGAGTTAACTAACAAACAGCTATTTGGTCGCTAGTTAAAGCAGTCCATTATAGCAACACCATCTTAAAATAATTGTGTAACTTAATTTTGCCAACTAAAAACTTATTTTAGGTGGATGATAATATTCRTCTCCAACCCGGTGCTACCTGTTGCTTGTTTTTCATGGAGCTACTGAGAGGAGATAGCATGTCAAGATAGTCATAGTTAGCATCTTGTGTGAACTTGATTCATGCATTTTTTTCCCTTGAGAAGTGTTCCACCTGTTTTATCACCTGTTTCCACTACAAAACACTTGCTTTGATTTTTCTCAGTCATATTCTAAGAAATCCCAAAGTGGACGTTGCTGCTTTCTCCCAACAACTGTTGTCGTCATTTAGCAGAGGATGCTGAGCAGCAGCAAACAAGTAAACAAGTGTTGTTACAAACCACAGCTAATGTGAAATTACTCAATTTGAAAAAATAAATAAAAAGATCCACATGGCTCAAAAATAAATTCAATTCAAATTCAAAAATACTATATTGATCCCAGAGGGACATTAGGTAAAATAAATTAACAAACACTAAAACTTAAGATATTCTATCTATAATTTCAGTTTTTGTTATTTAGTTAGTTTTAGTGAACTATAATAACTCTGGGGCACACCCACCGAGCGGCCACCTGATCAGTTTCTCCTCCAGCGAGTTGATGCGCTCGCAGAAGGAGGAGAAGATCCKGTGGACGTTCCCCTTCTCCAGCTGGAAGCGGTGGGACACGGAGCGGTAGCTGATCCGCTCGGACAGCAGGGACAGAGACAGGAGGACGGTGTGGGACGGAGACAAGCGGGCCCGTCCGGCCATTCGGGTCCTGGATGTGGAGCTCTGGAGCAGCTCAGAGATGTACTGGTGACAGACAGGCTAAAAGTTAGTGTGCAGTCATTCAGAGGACTCGAAAATAATCAGAAAATTTATAACTTACTGCTCAAAAGAGGGAAATCGTTCAGTGGTTCTCAAACTTTTTATACTCTGACCCCCAAAATAACAACGATGAAGACTTGTGACAGAAAATACCTCAAAAGAAATATATTTTAAACTCTGGAGATCATCTGAAAACCTCTAACCTGGTGTTTTGTGAACCACAGTTGGATCCAGAACCCAACTTTAGGAAACATTGTTCTGGATCTTTAGGTTTTTGCAAATATTTTTATGAAACTATTGATAAAAATCCGATTTAGAGGAGTATTTGTTCAGTTTTTTTCTTTCCTTTTTGGTTTTAAACTAGTATTTTTATGCTTGAACTGTGAACAGATCACCAAGCTGAGATTGGTTTCTGATTCCAGCTTCGATTCTGACTAAAGGGCGATTACAACTAATTTTTCACTACCTTTAGTATTTAATCTGCTCTAGCTCAAAAACWACAACACTAGACTCTTCAAACCTGGACTAGATTATTCGACACTAATAGAAGAATATTTAAAACTAAGTTTGAGATTTGTGAAACTTCAACAAAGTTGTTTTCATAAGATTTCAGGCAACTGGACCACACTAGACCTGGACCTGCTCAAAAACTACAACACCTAGACTGTTCAAACCTGGACTAGATTATTCTTCAATGACAAAAGAATATTTTAAACTTAAAAAAAAAAACTAGGTGTTGCAGTTTTTGAGCAGGACCAGGTGTAGTGTGGTCCAGTTGCCTGAAAACTGATGAAAAATGACCTTTGTTGAAGTTTCACAAATCAGAAAAAAGCTTTCACAAATCTCAAACTTAGATTTAAACATTCTTTTTTCATTGAAGAATAATCTAGTCCAGGTTTGAAGAGTCTAAGTGTTGTAGTTTTTGAGCAGGTCCAGGTCTACTATTGTCCAGACTATGAAAACAACTTAGTTGAAGTTTCACAAATCAGAAAAAGCTTTCACAAATCTCAAACTTAGTTTAAAATATTCTCCTATTAGTGTAGAATGATCTAGTCCAGGTTTGAGGAGTCTGGGGGTTGTAGTTTTTGAGCTAGAGCAGATTAAATCCACTCAAGATAGTGAAGAATTAGTTGTAATCGCCCTTTAGTCAGTTGACTCGGAAACCAACTTCAGCTTCGTGACAAGCTTTTTTATTTTTAAAATATTTTTTGTAGCATCCACTTCCTTACTTGAAGCAATTTATGTAAACAAAAATGCGTCTCAGATTAGTATATTACTAACATAATATTGTGGGAAAACTTAAATCATACGTGGTTAAAACAGTACATTAAATCTGACATTATTTGTATCTTGAACAGATTCATTCATTCACCCGGACTGCTGCAGGATCCACCCCGCCGGTCTCCTGCTGCTCCTCAGCCCCTGCTGCTCCTCCCTCAGGCGGGTCGGTTGTTGCGGGGAAACTCTGAGGACCTGCGGTCGACTTGCTCTGCAGAAACTGCACGTAAACAGTCCGAGGAGTCTGCGGTTCGAGTCCAGCCACGAGCTCCGGCTCCAGGATCTCCTCCACCGCCTGGTCCAGCCGATGCTCCAGCTCGCCCGCGGACAGAGGYTGCCATTCCCGCTCCATCATGTCCAGAACGGCTTTACCCGCCAACAAAACGTGCTCACCGACATCCATTTGTACAGAATATAAATAAAGTTCATCCGTTTCGGTTTCTGGACTGGCTGTGGGCAAAAAAACKTAGCAATTCAGTTTAAAAAGTGGCGAACTTTGGCTAGCAGCGCGAGGGATTAAACTAGCCGCTAAGCTAATGTTTGTTGCCTTCAGGGACCGTCGGATATTTCGAAGAATCAGTGAGACGTTGATGAACCGTGGGCATCCAAACACTCAAAGWAGCGTTTATTCATCGCGAATAAATAAGAAACAATTGTTTGAACAACAAAAGTTAAAAAAATAATTAACAGTATAATTGAAAAGTGGATAATTTCTTAAAATCCTGATCACGCATAAACACCACTTAAAAACATTGAGATCTTTTAGCTTCTCATGTTTCTTCAGCTAATTTCAGCAGCTCAGTGTTCATGCTGTTTTTGTACAGAAACCTTTATTTTAAATTTGAGCTGTGCCTCTGGCTCTTCTATTTTAAGGCATTTCACTGAATAAATAGTAATTCTGCTTTTAGTAATAGATTTTTGTGCACATTATTGGTTACAATAACAGTATGGTTACAATATACTGTATGCTTTGAATATAAATACCTTTAAGATCTTCTTTTGTAATTCCACAGATGAYGCACCTTAACAAAGGTGTAAAATTAAAAAGTTTGAGCAACATTGATCATTGTTCACAGGTCCATTAAATTATACTATTTGTTTTTCCCTTATTAAAACAGGCAACAGTAAATTTTAAAACTTAAAAAATAAACGACGTAGAACATAGTACAGTGCACCGAGGTGGAAAAACAAGTGTTTTAATTTTAAATCAGTTACAAATGCAACTCTGTTCATGCTCTACTGTTTAACAGCTTTAATTTGCAAACGTGTTTTTGAGCAACCTGAAACAGTTTCATCAAAACCCACAAGCAGATTCAGTTCTTGTGGTGAAAAGTTCAGGATTTATATTTTCATTGAGCCTTAAATCGACGTTTATTTTCAGTTTTGCCTTTAAGTTGGAGTAAAACTGCAGCAGAAATGACCCCGTTAAAGAGGTCTTAAAGGGTACAGATCAGACAAAACACACTTCTAAGTTACTTAAAATTAAAATGTGCTCAATTTAATGCAATTTGGGCAACTATTTAGTCTCTATTTAAAGGATTACAACTGGGTTGACCCATCTCCATCGCTGAACGTGTTCGGCTTCAGTAACCRATGAGGCTCGCTCCGTAACGAGAACATTAACTACTTGTCGGTAGAAGTAACAAAAACAAGTAAATCTATTTTTATTTGAGCATTGTTCAAAAGGTTTCTGAAATACAGATGATAATTTAGAAATTCACAAACTCTCACTTGTAGTTGCGACACATATCCAGGCTAAAGAAGAAGAAAAAAACAAAWACAAATAAACTTTAGTTATAGAAACACAAAACATAACAGCCTAAAAATGTCACACGTTGTCAACTTTAACTTGTAAGCCAGCAAAGTAAAGACCGCGAGCAAGGCAGCGCTAACCTCGCTCCAAAATAAAGAGGAGAAATCATTAAATAAGAGGTACAATTCTTGGCTGCAGCCTTTACCAACCAGATGACCGACAGTGTCGTGACGAGTCCATCAGGTGCGTCTGAAGGGTTCTGTGTGAAAATAGAAATTTATCTAGCATGCGCCCACTAATTTCAAGACAAATTAACCACTCTGGAGCCCCACGAATTTAAAAGGGAGTCCACATTTGTTATTGTTTATGCCTCACTTGAAGAGCTGCGTTGGCAATATGGGAAAACCTAACCCGCTGAGGCACCTCTTCCCAAAATTCAACCCCCCCTCCCCCCAAACGTGCCCTCCCGTCCGCCCTCGCTGTGGTTCCCGTCTTCAGAACCCCGCCCCACCCCTCACTGGACCGCCTGCTCGTTGGCTGTGCTGCCAGAGTCTTGGGGCTTCATGACGTCTGGAAGCTCCGGCGGAGTGGAGAAGGACTCGATCCTCAGCTGCTCGAACGAGTCGTCTGGGAGGAGAACAGAGAGGCAGACGAGGGAGTCACCGGACCGTCTCAGAAACAAAACAATCAAAAAATAAATAAATAAATAATAAAATAAAAAAAGTGAAAAGCTCACCGCCCAGACGAAAAGCTAACCCCACCATGGCTGGAGCCTGGGGTCGGGCTGTTTGATTCGTGAAGCCACAGTTTCCAAGAGTTTGACTGTCGTTTAGCAGCACGTCATCCTTGGAATTAAAGGGAAACAAGGCTTAAAAAACAATTTATTAATTACATTATGAACATGTTTGGGGTTTGTTTATAAAAAAGCTTCCAAAGCATTATTCCATTTAATAAATGGCTGGGAGAAATGAATCAAATAGCTATGAACAGTTGATTTTCAGGTTGAATAATCGGGGGAGATATTTACAGAATTATGGGACCAAAATGAATGAAAAAAAGGAAAAGATTAAGAGCTCTGAATAGACGTGATTGAGTATTGTTTCTCTTTTCCTATAATAAGATGTGGTAGGAGTGCTGATATGTGTTAACTTTGTACATATTGTAGGTA